TCAGATGATCGCAAGCAACTAGGGGTCTTTTGTATTTCTTTGGATTTCTGCCACAGGGGAGAATCCTGGCAAGGAGACAGAGCTGTGACATGAGACATGACTGTCTGGGTGGTCTCTGTGGCCATGAGGCTGTCCACCTCTCTCAGAGCTTCTTGCCGTTACATGCCTTTTAAGACTTGTTCTTCTAAGCTAAGACTTAGCTAAGACTTAGCTTTGACGAAGGCTATCATGAGCCTATATGTGTATGTCTCTCTCTCTTTCTGTCACTCTCTCTTCCTGGACAGTGGATTCCTTGAGTTCATTCTGGTCCCTCTTGGTGCAGCTTCTCAGCACCTGCACAGAGCTCATAAGAAGCTTCTGGAATGAACAGCTGCAGACACTAATGAGTTAACGAGCTAAGTGCATGAGCGTGGCTCACAGCTGCTTTGGAAGGACGGGTTCTGTGGCCACATGAGTAGGCAGTGAATCAGGCAGTGGCCAGCAGCCCTGACCTGGACTCTGGTCCTTGCCACCACCTAACGTTTGTCCCTCTGCCTGTTTCCATTGTACTGAGGTTAGCTCACCCTCGGTGAGACATGGACTGAAAGAAAGGCAGCTATCAAAACAGAAAGATTATTAAATAGTAAAGAAACTAAGACACATTCTCATGCTCTGGTCGGTGACTTTGGCACTGTGTCTGGGATGAGGCCAGATTATATCATTCCTCTAGAGCACAGTCAGAAATTTCTGTGGAGGATCAGATAGTTAGTATGTGTGCCCACTGGGTCATATGGGTTCCTCCTCAGCAATGCTGTCATAGGGCAAAAGGAGCCAGAGATAATGTTTTAAAATAGGTGTGACTCATACCTTTTGCAGCAACATGGGTGGAGCTGGAAGGGATCATGCTGAATGAAATAAGCCAGAAGGGAAAGGAAAAATATCGAATGGTTTCGCTCATAGCAGGAACATAATGGACCAGGCGAGAAAATAATAATAATAATAATAAACAGCTATATACCAGAGACATTTTGTGGGGGTGGAGTGGAGAATGAGATCAAAAACAGTGGGGGAAGGGAAATGCACCTGACTATGGTGATGGCACAGGGTGATTTGGTGATGGGAAGGCCATGGGGAATACAACTGAGATGGAAAAGGCACAAAATGATGTAAAAATAAAGTATTATAAAAAAAATTGGTGTAACTATGTTCCAATAAAACTTTACTTATAAAAATAGTGGTCCAGATTTGGCCTGTAAACCTCAGTCCTATTTCATGTCCTTTTAAAATGAATATCCACTGAAAGCTGAACCTGGGTTTTTGTGTACTCTTGCTATCTCCATTGAAAAGTGACTTATTTGTAGAAGCAAAGCATCTTTCCAAAATTATCTTAAAAGGTGTGTGCTGTTGGGGTAGGAGGGTGGTGAGCTGTGTGTCGCTGCTGCTTCCCAGCCCCGGTGAACTCTGCTCCATCGCCAGTCCCCTCCGGCTCCTGCCCACCCGGTGCCTCCCACAGGGCCCCTGAGTCCCTAAACCCACCTCCAGCACTGTGCCCTTCTGCTTGTCTCGGTCTTGATGCCAAGATACAGGGTTTGTGCTAGATGTTACCCTAGAAACTTCAGAATCCTTTTTCTTCCTGTCAAAGCTACTGAGTGAACCATAAAGCTTTTCACCTTCCCTCTTTTGTCGCCTTTCCTCCAAGTTAAAGGACCATCAGGAGGTTGAAAAAAACCAAGGTTTTATAGTGACCATCCCTCACCTCCACAAGGAGACACTTTAGCATGTAGAGAAGCCCGTGTGGAGGAGTCTTGCAGGAAATTTTATGTGCTATCCACAAGGAGAGTTAAAATGCGTTGCCAAGCAACACACATACCCTACAATGTGGCCTTAAAAAAAAAAACAAAAAAACTGTGTCCTGTGATTGACTCATGAATGGGAAATCATGTGGGAATACAGAGGGTAAAACGGTCCGTTGTGAGAATATTGTTTCTGTGGTTTTTGTCTTTAGTATCTTTCCTGAAGACAACTTTATAGGGCCACAGGGGAAAATAAGTCAGGTATGACTCCAGTAGAGTGCAACTAAATAGCAGGCCATATTAGGAACCCAAGAGCCAGTCTATCCTCATTCACAGATCCCGTGTTTGGGAATTTGCCCACTTGCAAAAATGTATTTGTAACCCCCAAAATCAGCATCAGGGCTTGTTAGCCTTCCAGTGCAGGAACATCAAAGACTTGACGCATACGTGTCCTGCCTTCTTGTTTACCTTTCTTCTGTAAACAAAGGTCCTTTATACAGCCGATGTGGTGCTGTCTGTATGCTTTTGTTTCATGTGTCCATGCAGTGTGCTGTCTGGTTTTTCTCAGTGGAAGAGGCTGAGGTGGCTTACATATCTAAATGTTGTTAGAAAAACTTTATCTAGGCACGTTGGCATGCTGCTGGCATGCTCAGTGTTAATGCATCAAAGTGTGAATATGTAGAGAAAGGAAGAACAAAAGTCATTGACCTATATCACGCTACTCTAGCAAGATAAGATCTGCTAAGATGAGAGTATGGAAAAGTGACTATGTTTGTTGATTCGCAAGATGAGGATTGATGAAAAACAACCCCCCAGTGCAATGGGCAGTACTGTGCTGAGTTCCACAGAAATGTATGGTCGTGTTACTCAGAGGCAGGGAAATGGAAAGCTCTTTTCAGGGGCTGTTTTGTGAAACAGAAGTCGTACAAGTGGCCCATTATTTGTGAGAAGGACATATACTAAATAATGTGTCTTTATTGATCTGTTGACAGGATATTTTGACCAGAGGCCTTTGAATCTCATCTTCTATTCTCCTAGGAGCAATGACTCCATATTCACTAACTCAGGTTTTGGGAAGACTTAATAGGACATAACCACCATGAGTAATAGTTGACAGTGTGAGATCACAGTTGAACCCTACTGGGATCTAATTTTCTTTTCTTGTGTTGAAACAAAGTTCTGGGCTCATCCAAGCACAGTGTCTGCCAGGGCCTTCCTGGTGGTGCAGGGGTTACAGTCTCAGCACTATGAAACTATCACCAGCTACTATGACACAAGTTCGATCGCAGGGCAGGGAGTGACCCACAGGGCACAGCAGACCTCTCCTGTCTCCCCGCTGCTCCCCTCAGCAGTGTAGTTCAGTAGATCTGCCTGGTCTGCTCCCTACTCTGTCTGGTGAATCCTCTTATCCCATCCATCTCTGTCCTCCACCCCAGCTCTTGTGTACATAAATGAATAAAATCAAACAAACAAAAAAAAGTGTCTGCCAGGAGCAGGACCAGAATCGCATCTGCTCGTCAGCTTCAGTGCTACCTGCAACATTCCTGCTGGACACAGTTTGAAGGGACTGAAATGTTTACAACCAGGCCTCGCTCCTTCTCCACATCCCCTTGCCTTTCTGTCATAGTATTTGAGGTTGCTATCACAAAAACGCCACAGTCTGGGTGATTTAAACAATAGAAATGTATTTCTCACGGTTCTGGAGGTTGGAGTTAAGATTGAGGTGCCAAAAGATTTGGTGTCTGATGAGAACCTGCCTCCCGGTTCACAGACTGTCATCTTCTCTCCATCTTCACATGGACCCAGGGGAGGGAGGACCACAAGGGGCTATGTAAATCTCTAAGGCTTCGCCCTCGTGACCTGATCACCTACCAAAGACCCTGCCTCTAAGTAGCGTAACACTGTGGGTGAGGACTTCAGTGTGTGCATTCGGGAAAGATATAAACACTCAATCCATGAGTCTCTCCTTCAACCACTTTTGTCACTGATTATTTTACTTGAAGGAAAGCCCTGGTGTATTTTCAAATGACCCCAGATCTGAGGCATAGTGAGCCTGGTGTCCCTGAAACGACACCTTAATTGGTCCCAGATGGCAAAGAAAAGCTATTGCTCTTACACCACAGTCTTTGCTCCCTGGAGGCCTGGTGCAGGTCGCATGTGAAATGGTTTCTCCATTTCCGAGTTCTAATCTCTGCTGACAGCAGCCCTCGTCGCCTGCCGAGGCTGCAAACTGGGAGCTCTTCAGGGGGCAACTGTCTAGCAGCTGATGGGGACACGGACATGAGGACAGAGACCTCTCACCTGGCGTTGCAAACACAACTCCAAGGGAAGCTCGCAGGACACGGGCAATAGAGAGGCTAGGTCAGCTCACAGGAGCAGGGTGGGCTCCGGAGATGGAGTGACAGTTGGCAGAGAGGATGCACGCATGTTGATGATGATGCAGGCAGACACCTTTGAAAGCAAGGCAGGGAGAGTGTTGGGTCAAGTAGAGGGATGGAAAAATATGAGCTGTTCCTCCTCCTTTGAAAGAGTCTAGAAACACCATCATTACATTCTTACCATGCACACAACTTGGAGGAACTTTCTAGAAAGTTCCACATTCTGTTGCTGATTGAGTAAGTGCTTGGGCCTCTATGATAATCAGGATTGTGAATATGTTTTGCTCATAACTACTATGTGCAACCATAGCCATTTAGAGACACGGCCATAAAGCACATGCAGCTCCTTGCCAGAAGCATCTCTGCATGTATTAAAAGCACACAGGCCCTCGGTGCAAGTAAGTTCACGTCTGGGAAACTACGTTTTGTTGCAGGAATTGCTTGTGCGAAACTCAACGGAGGAGTGCAGACAGCATGCCGGACCCCGGCCACAAAGCCATTTTCTCTTCAGCCCTTCGCCTCATTCTATTCCCAGCTCTCCTTATGTGCAGTGCCATCTGCATGTGCACAGACACAGAGGAATACCCCATCACAGCCAGGGCAGAAGTGCCAGGGGAGGTGTTTTGCATGAGTTCCATTCTTGGGGTTAGAAGCACTTGCTCCGCTGCCAACTGCAAATAGCCCAGTGCTAGCAAATGACACTAATTAGTATGCCATTAGAAAAAAATGGGGTGGGGAAGGAAAATCACTGCCCACAGCGCAGAAGCCATGGAGAGGCCTGAAGTCCTACCCTGACAGCCAAAGTGAAGCCCGGCCCGCTAATGCAGCTTTAATCCACTTTGCTCGGCAGAGAGAGCAAGCTCACCATGCTGCTGCGCGAGTCCCTGGGGAACGTGAACTGCCGCACCACCATGATCGCGCACATCTCCGCGGCCGCCGGGAGCTACGCGGAGACCCTGTCCACCATCCAGATCGCCTCCAGAGTCCTGAGGATGAAGAAAAAGAAAACAAAGGTAGGCAGCTTCGGGGGGTGGGGGGGTGCCGCCCTGGACCTGGGTCCGAAGAAAGCTGGAGCCAACTCTGACTCCCCGTTACCCAGGACACAGGGGAGGGAGGTGCCAACGAGCAGCTGGGCATCACCTGGCAGGGGAGACCTGCAGGCCCTGGGGAGGAACTATGCCCTCTCCTTCTGCACACAGGGCCTCTGGGTGACCCGTTGGGGCCCCGCCAGGCCTCAACTCGCTCTACTTGAGGTAGTTCAGACGATTGCGACTTTGAGATGAAAAACGTTGGAAGGGCAGGACATACTCCCTTGTTCTTCACCCGGGTGACCCCAAAGAGGACGCGTAACCGCCTGCTCCCTGGCCCTGTGTCCCCTGCAGGAGACATATTCAGCCTTCTGGGTGATCGCAGTGGCTTCTGCCTGGCACCGAGAGTCTCCTAGAAACCACCAGGCTCGTTTTCTCAGGCTGAGGCCACGCCAACCAGTGATGGTGTCACCTGAGTGTTTGGGAAAATAGTGGTGACTGGGGTCTCTCTGATAAGGGTCAACTGGTACGCGTGGTGCTTTCCCCTCCTCTTGGTATCTTTCTGCTGTTGCCAGAAGCAGGACTTGCCAGCAAATGGCCCGTGGCACAGAGCCCCACCAATGGCCAGGGTGTGCTCAGCCGGCGTCCGCTCCATCAGATGGGGCCGAGACTGTCACCGCCTTTCGTCAACACCCCTGCGCCACAGAGGCGGTCTGCGTCCCGCGCGGCCCGGCCGGGGGCCGTGCCCGGCACACCTGAGGATGGGCCGTGCCTCGGGGCCCGGGGAGGCCTCTGTGTCGTGTCGTGGGCCTCTGTGCGCTGCTCGCACCGCGCTGTCCGACTCCCCGGGGGGGCGGTTTCGGAAGGGCCGCCCGTGGTAACTGCCTGTCTCGCCCACAGTACACGTCAAGCTCCTCGGGAGGCGAGAGCTCCTGTGAGGAAGGCAGAATGCGCAGGCCCACCCAGCTGAGGCCCTTCCACGCCAGGGCTGCCGTGGACTCGGATTTCCCGATCCCCCACCTGGCCAGTGACCCCGACTACTCCTCCAGCAGCGAGCAGTCCTGCGACACGGTCATCTACATTGGGCCCAACGGCACGGCCCTCTCGGACAAGGAACTCACCGACAACGAGGGCCCCCCGGACTTTGTGCCTATTGTGCCGGCTCTGCAGAAGGCCAGGGGTGACACCCGGCCCGCGGAGGCTGCGGAGGCTGCAGCCGGCAAGTCAGAAAGGGACTGTCTCAAGTGCAACACGTTTGCCGAGCTGCAGGAGCGACTGGATTGCATCGACGGCAGCGAGGAGCCCAGTAAGTTTCCTTTTGAAGAGCTGCCCACCCAGTTTGGGGCAGAGCAGGCAACCAGGTGTCCCCCGCGAAGCCAGGCAGCCGTGGGGGCCAGCCCGCTCTGCGAGTCTGACAAGGAGGAGGACGGGTCGGAGGGCCACGACAGAGACAGAGACGCCACGGACGCCCCGGCCTTCAGGGTGCCGCGGAATCACTCGCCAGCTCCTGCCGCAGCGCTTCCCCACAGCCCCGCGCCGGCCTCACCCAGGAGCATCCCCGGCAGCAGCGGCAGCAGCCAGCACAGCTCCCAGCTCGTGCAGAGCCCCAGCCTCAGGAGCAGCCGAGAGAGCCTGAACTCCTGTGGCTTCGTGGAAGGCAAGCCCAGGCCGATGGGCTCCCCGCGGCTGGGCGTGGCCAGCCTGTCCAAGACCTCAGAGTACAAGCCCGCCAGCTCTCCCTCCCAGAGGAGCAAGGTCTATACCCAGAAGGGGGTCCTGCCCTCACCTACCCCTCCGGTCCCCTTGAGCAAGGATCCCAGCACAGCATCGAACGAGTCCCTCCTGCAGCCTGAGGTGCGGACGCCCCCGGTGGGGATGAGCCCCCAGGTTTTGAAGAAATCCATGTCTGCCGGAAGCGAAGGCTTCCCCAACACCGCCGTGGAGGACGAGCCTCGGGCAGCCACGTCCCCGGATGCCAAGAAGGAGATCCTGAGCACCACCACGGTGACTGTGCAGCAGCCCCTGGAGCTGAACGGCGAGGACGAGCTGGTGTTCACGCTGGTGGAGGAGCTGACCATCAGCGGCGTCCTGGACAGCGGCCGGCCCACCAGCATCATCAGCTTCAACAGCGACTGCTCTGTGCAGGCCTTGGCCTCGGGCTCCCGGCCCGTCAGCATCATTGGCAGCATCAGCGAGGACCTGGAGTGCTACTCAAGCGTGGCTCCTGTGTCTGAGGTCAGCATCACGCAGTTCCTGCCCCTCCCGAAGCTGAGCCTGGACGAGAAGGGCCGGGAGGCCGGGAGCAGGCGCTCCTCCATCAGCTCCTGGCTGAGTGAGATGAGCACGGGCAGTGACGGCGAGCAGTCTTGCCACAGCCTCATAGCCCAGACTTGTTTCGGGCACGGGGAGGCGATGGCAGACCCTCCGGGCTCGGAGTTTGTTAGCAGCATCCAGAACGCCACCGTGGTGTGCCGAGAGAAGCCCAAGGCCGGCCCCGACAACTTGCTCATCTTGTCTGACGTGGGGGAAGACGCTTTCAGCAAAGCCGCCCCCATCCAAGGCTGCAAGATCTCCACGCTGGGCAAAGCCATGGTCACCATCTCCAACACTGCGAACCTGAGCGGCTGCGACGGGTACATTCCCATGAAGACCAACATCACCGTTTACCCCTGCATTGCCATGAGTCCCCGGCACGTCCAAGAGCCCGAGGCTTCCGTGGCCAACGCCAGCCCCGCCCCGAGCACAGCACAGGCCCAGGAGAACAAGGATGCCAGTGCCAAGGCAGAGATGAAATTCGAGGATCCCTGGCTGAAACGGGAAGAAGAGGTGAAAAAAGAGAACGTCTGTCCCGACGAGGAAGGGCTCAGGTGTGAGGCCGCGGCTGCGGGGAGCCCGAAGCCGGAGGCCAGGCCGGAGCCGAAACAGGACAGGAAGGCCGGCTCCGGGGACCGGCTGAGCAGCAGCGGCGGCGAGGTGACGGCCTCGCCGGTGAGCGACAACTTCAGGAGGGTCGTGGATGGCTGTGAGATGGCCGTGCCCGGCCTGGCGCTCCAGGGCCCCGCGCATCCCAGCAGAAACCTCAAGTCCAGCAGCCTGCCCAGGGCGTTCCAGAAAGCCGGCCGACAGGAGGAGCTAGACGGCCTGTTCTACCACTGTGCGGCGGACACCAGTGGCGTGGCCGCCGCCCTGGGCACCCAGCCCTCCAAGGCGGCCCTGGACAGGAAGGTGGCGTCACCCAAGCACGGCGTCCTGGCTCGGCCCAAAGCGACCCCTCCGCTGCCCCCGGTGCGCAAGTCCAGCTTGGAGCAGAAGAACCGGGCCAGCCCCCAGCACAGTGCCTGCAGCAGCAACAGCAGCAGCCCCTCCAGCCAGCCGGTGTCCTTCCTGGCCAGCTTCCCGGACGAGTCCGGCTGCAAGCTGAAGGATGCCAGCACCAGCAGCAGGCTCTTCAGCGCCAAACTGGAGCAGCTGGCCAACAGGACCAACTCCCTCGGCAGGACAACAGTCAGCCACTACGAATGCCTGTCTCTGCAGAGAGCCGAGAGCCTGTCGTCCGTGAACGGCCGCGCCCACGCCAGCAAGGACAGCACCGTGCCGCGCGCAGGGCGGAGCCTGGGCCGCAGCGGGGCCTCGCCCACCCACGCGGGCCCCGGCCAGCCCGCGGGGGCCTCGCCCAAGGCCAGCCAGTCCAAGATCTCGGCGGTGAGCAAGCTGCTGCTGGCCAGCCCCAAAGCGCGCAGCCTGTCCGCCGCCACCACCAAGACGCTGAGCTTCTCCACCAAGTCCCTGCCGCAGTCGGTGGGCCAGAGCCCCAGCCTGCCCCCCAGCGGGAAGCACATGTCCTGGTCCACCCAGTCCCTCAGCAGGAGCCGCGGCGCGGGCTTGGCCTCCAAACTGCCCCTGCGCGCCGTCAACGGACGCATCTCGGAGCTGCTGCAGGGCGGCGCGAGCCCCCGGGGCCTGC